TAGGGTTTTTGGGTGTTTGAAATGGGTCTCATGTTGTGCAGACTGGCCTTGAACTTATGATCTAAATCTTAAACTTGTCTCCTTTAAAAACTTACTTTTGGAAAATTATCACATGACTTCCCGCCAGCACTAATCCCCTGTCCCAATAGTCCAAAATAGTAAAACTGTCTTCATGTACTGAAAAATTATGTTGTTTTGGAGCTCAGCTCATGTTCAGGGCATTTATCATACACATGGTCTTTCTTAATGGCTACTTGGGCCTCAGATACAGAAATTAATTTTGTAGTTAGTCTTCCTTGCCATCTTTGAACCAGTATCCCTACTTTTCTTAATTGTTTTCCTTTTTCTGGCACAAACCGTTCAATACCCAAAATTTAAAAGAAAGGTTTATTTTGGCTTGTGGTTTCGGGACAATAATGTATATTTCTAGGGTTTGCCCCCCATGACCCACCACTAGGAGTCCTGGCCTCCTAGTAGCACATTTAACTACTGAACTGGTAAGTATTTATCCACTGATTAGTACAACATCCTGATGATCCAGATATATGAGGCTTTAGAACAATTTTCCATGTAAATTGTAATATACTGTTACTGGCCATTTAAATTCATATGCTCAGGTTTGGTTGCCCAAAGAGGCCATTTATTTTGGTAAAAAGGAAAAAAAAAGTATTTAAAGCCAGCTCTGAGGAAATAAAGGAACTTATGTGCCTCAAGTCACTCTCACCATGAACACACGTTAGGGTCTTTTATAGTGAAGAGCAGTGGGAGAAGGAATAGAAAGGAATAGCAGACACATTCAGGCTTTTTCCGTCTCTTGCTGGACACCTCTCTCCTCTTGTGCCTGACTGGTGCCAGTATTTTTATACAAGTGTTTTGTTCATCTGGGTTGTGGAGAGATGGAAGTAGCCATTTAAAGATCCATTTTGTAATGCCAGTTAATATGCCTCCCCTGGCTTTCAAAAAGCTTGTATAATTTCTTTATATACAATGTATTTAGTCCTTGTCTAAGAATCATAAATGTTAACAGTTCGAGCATTGCTGAAAGTGGAGACTGAAGGATTCAGTCCAAGGTCTGGAGCTCACTGCATGTTCTGTGCAAGTTTGTATCAGGAGGTCAATGGGTCTTCAACAGAAGGCTGATGAGTCTGTGATAGAAGGCTGATGAGGCCGAAGGGGCTGCGATGGAAGCCAAGAGATGGCATCCAAGCTGACTGAGAAGACTGGAGCTCCTCCAAGGAAATGGAATGCTCTATCTTTCCTCAGTTTTTAAAAATATCCTTTAAGTGGTGAGTCTTTCTAAGGTGGGGCCTCCACACCCTAGGGTTGGAATTACTGAGCTCATTTAAGTTAAGCTTTTAACTTCTCAACTTGGCACAATGTATCAACCACTACAGATTGCAAAAGGGAGAAAGAAAGGAATGGAACCAAAGCAAGGCAGAAATCCAAGGCAAACGTCAAATTCATGTATGTTACCCTGGATAAGTTGTAGTAAAAGTCAAACTCCAAAGAGGCTCAGGCAGTCTTGCCTCTGAGGTATTTCTGGTTGTAATCCTCTCTCTTTGTCTGACTTTAGTCACTGCTTTTGGCCTTCTTCAGATGTTCTATGTTCCTGGCTTCTCCAACTTCCTGGAAGCTCCCAAGCACTTTTTGCTTCACTCTCACAGCTTCGTGCCTTGCCCTTACAGGGACACTGGGGCAACTCTTCACATCTGCTTTTTGCTCCTGATGCTTATTATAGATCTGCCTAAAAGTAACCAGCAGTATATCCGTCACAGCCTGACCAATGGGATGCTCTGAAATTTCCTCCACAGGATTATCCACTGTCTTTAACCTCAGTCTTTTGTAAAGTCTCAGGACAGAGGCAAAATGTACACAAATTTCTGCCAATGAATGTAACACAACCTCTAACTATCGATGAGAATCTTGTTCACAACTAAAACCTCCTGAGCCTGGCCTTTTCTGTCTACATTCCTATTTGCTTTTTAATCTTCTGAGCTCTGACCAGAATCTCCCATCTATCTTTTTTGCTTATATCATTTTAAGGTTTCTTGAGCTGGTATCTCCAAACCTTTCCAAACTCAAACCAGTTTCAAAGACTTCTGAACCACATGGTAAGGTATAGTCATAGTAAAGGCCCCATTCCTGGTAACAGTATCCACCTCAGTTACTTTATTGTTGCTGGGACAAAATACCCAATATCCATAACTTAAAGGAGGAAAGATTAATTTGATTTATCTCTGGCCATGGTTGGCTGGCTCCAAGACAAAAATGACAAAGGAAAAGGGGATGGTGGAAAAATACTAGTCAATCCATGGCAGCCAAAAAGGGAGGATAAGGACAACTATACTTTTCCATATCATAGCCCTAGTGACCTATTAACCAGGTCCCACCTCGTAGAAGTACATTTAGCTAGGGAATTCGACAGTGGATGAATCCACAAATTAATACACTCATGACTGAATCAGCTTCCAAACACATGAGACTTTTAGGGCCATTTTAGATGTGAATTACAACCCTGTTTTCCAGGACACTGCCAGGAGCACTTGTCTTCTATGATACCAATCCTATCTGGAAGTTTCAGTTATAAATTCAGGAATAAATACTAAGTCAAACACACATTTTTCATTCCCTCCCCTTTTTGCTGATTCCTTTAAATAACCTCCATAAGCATCAAAAAGTATACTGACATATTTGAAGCTAACATGTTTTGGTAATATAAAAAAATTAAACACTTCAGAATATCATGTGGTATGAATGATATAGTGACTCAGTATAAGAGAAATACTCTCTTCTGAGAATTTGTGACATATTTGGGCATAATGTAGCTATTTCATACTTTTTCTTTGCCTTAGCCCTAATTATTTTTTCAACCTCTGCAACACAGGGTGCTTTTCTATTTTTCTTTATTCTCTCTGTAGCCACTCTTAGTTTCTTCTGCTTTGACTTCTGGCTTTTCTTCTACTACTGGGAATTGAACCTAGGGCCTTTGTACTGAGATATGACCCAGCCCTTTTTAAAATTCTGAGATGCAGCATTGCTAAGTCAGCAAGTTGCCCAGGATGGTGCTTACTTTGTGATCCTCCTGCTTCAACCTCCCAGAGTGCTAGGATAACAGGTTGTACTACCTCCTCATGTTAAGAGTGCTCAGTCTTTGTTGTCAGACCTTCTCTCTTTAACTCCAGCCAGTGACTTCAAGGTCACACCCTTTAAGGAAAGAATTTCTTGCCTTCTACTTTCTCTTTGACCTTCTTAGTGACTGGAAATGGTGATAACTGGAGCAGCTGCCTTGGACCATTACAGAATGAAGTGTTAAGAAGGAGCTATCTTCAGCTCTGGATTGCTTTCCTCTTGCTTGTTACATGAAAAATATACTTCCTGTTTGTTTTGAGTTTTCGAGACAAGGTCTTATTTTGTAGTTCAGGCTGGCTTCAAACTTATGGTGATCCTCCTGCCTCCACTTCCTGAATGCTGGAATTACAAGCATGTGCCACCACACCTGATAATTTTTTTAAATTTTTTCATAGATAATTATAAGGGCCTCTTTTATTTTTTGTTGTTGTTGATACAGGGTCTCACTCATATTGATCCTCCTGTCTCAGCCTCCCCAGAGCTGGGATTTACATGCATGCACTACCACATCCAGTTTTGGGGTTCTGGGTTGGGCAGAGCATGTGGTACCAGGGATCAAACTTGGGACCCTGCACTTGTCAGGCAGGCACTTAGACATCCAAGTTATCTTCTCAGCCCACTTGGTGATGTATTAGTCAAATGTATTTATTTTTTATTATTCTATTTTATTATTTATTTTTGTGGTACTGGGGATAGAACTCGAGACCTTACGCTTGCCAGGCAGGCGCTTATGCCACTGAGCTATCTCCCCAGCCCCAAATGT